TCTATTAAATTAACGATCAACGATTATTTCCCATGCATTTTTGTTCCAAAGATTAACACAAAACCAACAATCAGTTAACCGAACAAAGCTCATCTTAAAGCCACTTTAATCATCATATTGTTGTCTTCTACTACGAAGTGCTGCCTCCAGATTGTTGTCTTAGTTATCTCTTTCTTCCTTCTCTCCCTTGAAGTAGCCGATCACCATAACCTATTTTATTTCTCAACCGTCTTGAGAGTTCCAAGCCATATTTTTGCGTTTTTTTTGGATTATGTATGATATATCAAAAATAATGACACACTTGTTGACAAATATTTTTTTTGTAGTGTAGGATCCGCGTCCAGCGCGGCGTTAAGTTTTTGAAGAATTATAACAAATTTTATATAAACAATTGTGTACTAAAAACCAATAAAAACAACATTCAAATTTGAGAAAAAGAGGTGTGTAAAATTTCGTTCAGGTTGATGAACACATAGAACGAAAGGAATGATCATAGATTTATAAAAGAAAATAATATGATCGAATACTCGTTTTATATTTATAACTTCTTCCTTTTTTTACTTTATAGATATACCATTAATATTTTTGCAAATTAAAATGTTCCAAAAACTAATATATGAGGCTAAATTCTCATAAATGTACGCAAAACATTTAGATCAATTAATTTTTCTAACAAATTAAGAGGAGATAAACCCTACGAAGGGAGTCTTAGTCCCATGGGAGCCTTAACCCTCACACACTGAATAAAACTACGGTTTGATTCGGCTATAGAAAAATTTGATTCGTATGTAATGTTGCAAAAAAACTAAAGTTTTAATTCGTTTATTTTGGTGCATGCATCTATTTGAAGTATTTTTTCTCGCGAAGTTCTGTGCAAACATCTATCTTCCGTGCTTGTCTAACCATTATTACTATGATTTCATCAATCTTATTATCGAAGTCCATGGATCCATTACTTTTAACTCGAAAAACTGATACAAAGTAAATCTTAACTTTATATTAATTTATTAATACCAAAACTACAAATCATAATTAAATCCAAATTTCAAAAGTCACAAACTTAGATCTTTTAAAATAGTAAACTAAGAACTAAAAGCTTGTGACTTTCATGAATAAAAGTTTCAGCAGTGGAAACTATTATTTTGGCTCTTACCACTTTACTCATCATCCTTATAGACCCAATTTCAGCCGTAAATTGCATATTCAACCGTTTGGATGACTCATCTTCTTCTTGTGCCTCTATCCCAAATCCCAACCTTAACCAATCAAAAATTGATTTTCTTTATATATCCTATGTATAACCATTCTCTAATTCCTTCACTTTCACCATGACTCATTACACAAACACACTTCCTCAACATTGAATCGTCTTCTTCTTCTCATTCCATTGGAATCAAAAAGTGTTACGGATGTCGCTTTCGATTAATAACTTTGGATTGAAGAACTTGGTTACAAATGCTTAACTCGTCCTGTCCATTTCGCCTGCTACATGGGATCATATATTATTTTCCATGTGATTTCGTTGGGGTTTTTGGTTTAGTTGAACTATTTATTTCGAAAGCGATAACATCATTATATATTAGCTAGCTTGTTTTTATCATAGTTAGAAGTCAAGTATAGTTGATTAAAACACTAATCAAAGAGCTGAGACATTTTTCTTTTCAAGCAAATAAACAAACACTAACTTATTAATTTTTGCTTTATCTTGGTTTTCAAAAATTCAGAACAAGAATTTTCTAGAGATAGTCCAAGCTCATACTCGTCTCAAGTTTTGTGTTTATATCAACACTCATACTATTTGCCAATTTCACCAATCAAATCCATTATATTATCAAAGATTCAACTTTTCTCTTTGGAGAATAAAGACTCAGTTCAGTGAACAATTTATAGAAACTCACTAAATTATGCTCACCATCTCTGTATCTTCACTAAGTTAATAAGAAGCAGCTTCCATCATAGGCTACATATTACACAAACACCAAGCTTTTAAGGAACAAATTTAAATATAGTTCCTCTTTCTCCTTTCTAGCGAACATATCTTCTTTCCTTGTCTACACAATCAAATACTGTAACACATCATAGACCCAAAGAATTACAAAAAGAAAAAATATACAATTCCATATTAATCACTGTTAAAAAGGTAAATTTCTATCATATCCCATCATTTTAAGTTTTGTAACGGCCACTCAATATAAGTAATTTTATGTGAAGCTCCTCATCCCACAACCCTCGCCTTTTCTTGGAGATAGAAGCATCAAACAAAAATCAGATATATATACAACAATATATAATTTCATAAAAATAAAACAAACAATTATACTTTAAATATAGAGATTTGGATTAATTTTACTTTGGAGAAGAGAAAGCCACAAAGTCATGGTCCATGGTATCATCTTGTAGCGACATCATACCACGCATGTTGTAAGATGGGTTAAGGCTCCCATCAAACACCACTTTTACACAACAATTAACATATAGATGACCATGAAGACAAATTGATGTTCTTATTCATACCTGACAAAAAAAAAAATATTAACGATATATCAAATCCACTGATTTAAATAACTTTGTGGTTGCAAATGTGAGTTTAATTAGCCTATGTTGTAGAAAGCTTAAAAACTTTGATCAACATCAAACTATTTTGTATAAAACTGGTAAAACAATGAACGTTCGAGAAAATCGAAGAAAACAAATTGGATTAACCATCTGAAACTGTTGATAAGATTATCCCAGCTTCGAACCGTTCTAAAAAGAAAAGAAAAAGACATGTGTGAGTTAGGTTTATAAACATATTATAGTAGAGAGGAGCGTGGATGACTGTTACATATAAAAAGGATTATGGTATATCAAACATATATACACAAACTAAAAGCATACAAATATACACAATTTCTTTCTGAATTTATATGTTTAAGATGGAACCGAGAACAAATAATAAAAATAAAGAGAACAACAAAAAACTGGAACACAAACATAGATGGATAATATTAAAAACTTGAATAAAGATACAGAAAAAACGAATCAGAAAACTACCTTGTTAATCGTAGTACAAATACACAAAACATCCAAAAAGAAAATTCTCAAATTAATAGTCGATTATAATAGAACATCAACAAAACCATAAGAGAACTTTATATAAATTATAACAGAACTTTTCTCTTATGGTTGTTGTTCAAAAGATAAAAACCACAAGAGAACTTTATATTAAAAACCACCTTGTTTTGCTTACTATCACTACAAGAAAACAGGGTCGTTTCCGACGGCCAAAACCGTCGGAAATCCGTCGGAATAACCCCTATTCCGACGGCTTTCCGACGGCTTTCCGACGGTTTTGGTCCGTCGGTTCTATCTCGTCGGAAATAAATATCCGTCGGAAATCCGTCGGAAAAACCTGATGGATTTTCGACGGAAAAAGGATAACCGGAATCCGTCGAAATTCCGTCGGAAATCCGTCGGATTCCAATTGCCGACGGATTTCCGACGACAGTGGTCACCGACGGACTTCCGACGGAAAGAAATACCGACGGATTTCC